GAAATAATACGTTTCTGCAACTGACTGCGAAGATGACGTATCTATAAAAACAACTTGTGAATCTACGTTAGATACATTCATTCCTGCACATCCCCAATTATCCCAGCCTTATTAGATCACTAATCCACAAAACAAGACGTACTTTCCTCACATCCACTCCACCAATACCACCTACACCACTTCATTTTCACTCCCCTTGTCTAATGAAACCAAATGCCATGACAGTATTAAGTAAGGTGCAAACTGCTGCTGAGTCTTTAAAGCAGTCTCACAGTTAGCACGTTTCTTTCACCATCAGCTGGACTGCACTATCTGAGCTGCAGTAACAGACGGGATACCAACACACACAAAACCACGTACAATAGGACAGTGTGAAAGCATTTCCAGCTGTGCTGTTTTTAATTAAAGATTAATAACCAACAAGACATAACTATCAGGACATTCCATAGAAGAGGCAGCTGAATGAATTAAAATTAATTGATCGTTTAAAAATTTACTTCAGAAAAATGAGTGTTAAAAAGGATCATAAAGCATTGAACTCTGAAGTTAGATAGCCAAATTTTCCAGAAACACCTAAACTCTAACAAGCCCTATTGGAATTGACTCCTAATGAAGAACAGGATACAAAGTGCTTGCCTTCTTGGTGTATTTTGTAAGATGAAGGTCACGTCTCTCAAGAACTACGAAGTAAATTAAGAAATAAACAGTCTGAAAACATTATTCTTTGTCATTCAAAGCTCCTGTCATCTGTTAAGTTTAAATCAAACACTACAATGAAAGTTGAATACCCTCAGGTCTCAGAGCTCCTGATGAGAATGGGCACGGCAATACACGAATGGGACCAACTGCAGCCACAGGCAGAACGAAGCATGTGGCGACTTGTCTGTGCGGTGCCTCACTGCCATCAATGAAATCATCCTTTTTTGTTTTTCAGGTTGTAAATACAAAGAAGTAGCATTCTCATTTTTTCTTCTACTGCGCCGTGCACCAGCCTGCAATAGCGGTGTAATCGGCTGCACGTGCAAGATGCATCTGGACACAGAGGCAGACAAAGGGCTGCTGCTGTAGTCATGCACATGTAGGCACGAGGGCACAGAACCACTTTTGGATGTGATGGCTTCTTAGAATCAAAAGCAGCAACAGCAGCGTTGGAGCTGGGGATTGCTCAGCAGCTCCGTAACCACTGCTCAGACAGAGCACAGCGCAGCTAAAAGCCTTGTGACAGCACAAGCACCATATGGTAAGAGACTGACATGAAAGCTCGGGCACTGCTGGGCCACCGTTCTCCCATCATCTCTCTCTCGTGGCTGTCAGCATCGCTACCACACGCTGTAGAAGGGGAGGCAGGGAAGTGACTGGCAGAGCAGATGGCCCCGCTCCGCTGCGGGACGGCAGGCCGACACCACAGTCAGAGCTGCACACACCAGACCCTCACTGGGACACACGTCCAACAGAAGCACCTCAGCCCTGGGAGCCGTGCACTGACTGTTCTCTAAACCAAACTGTGCTCCTACTCAATTTACACCATTTCCAGGCTCTGTGCACTCAACAATGCACACCTTCAGTCCCCGCATCTCCACAACCTACTCTGCACCACATCCTATCTCTGTGTAATTTGTCATGAGCGAAAAAACATTACTGCCTTACTGCCATGTATTCTGGCATGGAATATCTTAATCTGTATTAGCTCTACCTGTATTTCCATGTAATGAAAAACTTACACCTCCAAGACTTACGCAGCCATTAATCCAACCCCCTCCCCTACCTCCAGCACTTGCTTCTCCTTCTCCCCCCCTCTAAATGAAGGTGTATCAAAGGTCTTTTAGCAAAACGCTAAGAAAAGCAGGTACTGTGAGCTGCCGTGTCTGTAACACAGAAAAGACATACACCACAGTCATCGTCCTTGATAAGATTTTCCATACCCTGCAATGCATCCTTTCTTTACTGGGAGCCGTTCCAAAATCTGAATCATCAAGAACAGTCTTTTCTTTCACTAAACACCCTGAAAAATAAAAACAAGCCTCTTTCCTTGTCCTCTGAAAATGCAATCTTTTACCTAACAAATTAGCCTAAAACTACTGGCAGCACTGAATGAGTGCCAAGTGCCAATACTCCCTGGTTTTGTTGTTGTTTTTTGTGATGTCCTGAGGCATGTTTATGTAAAGGAACCCTTCCCAGAGATGCTACGAACATGCCTGCCGTGACACAGCCCCAGATGGCTCCTACACGTTGCAAAGTCACCTGTATCTCTAGAAGCAATCATACTGGTGTTCTCTGAGATTAAAGGCACGTACCAAATGTTCTTGCTCATTTGGCACTGTACAGAGGGTCTTTGATTCGAAGAATCTGATCACAATGGCAGACGCATGCAAAAGGAGTTTCTACAAAATATTAAAATATATTTTTAAGGAACTTTATTTTTGTACGTCGTATATAAAAAGCTGTAGCAGAGCAGCCTGTTGTGGAGAAGGTTTCGGTTTGGAGGGAAAAAGTGCTCACAATGAGTGCCTACACACAAAAAACGTTAAAATTTAAAACCAATGGTTTTGTTCAGCAGAGGCAGGAGTCTACTGAAGAAACTATTGTAAAATTGATTGAAGTCACAAAGGATCCAATTCAGACAAGAAGTTCAAAATCAGGACACTTCTGGCTGCTTAGGCCAACATCAGACATCCAGGCTCATAAATTTTTGAGTTAATCCCCTCTGAAGCAACCCATTCACCATTTGAAGATGCATCATGTGTCCAATATGGATTCCCCTCAGCTAAATGGCAAACAGTCTCCTCTGCTGGTGCTGCTAGAAACATAATCGTGGTTTTGTGTTTCACGTACAGAAAACACTTCCACGCAGAAAAGTTAAACATCAGCAGAGATGGAAATACACCACAGCTAGCAACCGCAGGCTACTGCTACATACACAGCTGCGGAGAAATCATCTTTAAATTGTCCCACACACGACCTCTGTGCTGTCTTTTGTGCAGTTTAGCCACCACATTAACTACAGCTAGTTCAGATTTAAAGAAATTAGATATGACAGCTTTCGAGAACACAAGCGCTGTGTTATCTTTACCTCATCTCCAACACAGGAGTCCCAAGATTCCACGCGTGAATAAATTCTGCTTACCCATTTCCAGTAATGGCAGTGTTATTTGAAAATAAAGAGATGATGGAGGGGAAGAAGGCCAGGCCTTCGCTAGATCACATCACACTTCAGCAGCGACTGCACAAATCGCCCGCAACATTTTGAAAAATCCTCAGTATTTTTCAGTCTCCAAGGAGCTCCCAGCATCTTTCATTTCTTACAATATTTATAAAGCTGTGATGGCTTTACTTTGCAGAATCACTTTTTAATAGTCTTGAATAATGCTACTCAAAACTTTGTGACGCCATTCCTCTCATATAAAACCGAGAGCTTTTATTCTTCTACTTCAAGATTTAGAAACTAACGTGAGTGTACATGTGTTAATTATGCATGTTCAAAGTACTATCTGTTTACAGGGCTGGAAAATATACAGCCACAAATATCTACCACACACAAATATCTCAGATGTGCCAATCTAATTCAATGACAACAGTGAAAACTGTTTCAATCTTTACACCCTTCACTTGCATCTTCCAACGGCATCCTTTGACTTCCCTAATTTACCACCTGGTAGAACTTTGAAAGACAAAAAAAAGGGGTGAGGGGAAAACAAAAAACAAACAAACAGTAAAACCCAACAAACAAATCTCCAACACAAACAGGCTTCCTCCTACTTTCTTAGGCTGACTTGAGAACCTCAATTAAGGAACTTATGTGCACCCCACCTTGCTTTTAGAAGATGGAAAACAGCTTGTGAAAGTATAGAAAGCTAGGGATCAATCCAGAAGAATATGTAAGCATATTATAGTCCCATTGACTTCAATTGCTTAAGTGATTTGTTGGAGCACAGCCAGTACAACAGTGCCTTGCAAGAGCAAGGCCATTAAGAACAGTCAGCAGTTTCCTTCTGTGGGCTGTGGGGGTCTGTTTGCAGGCTAAGTTTTTAAAAACAACCTCCTTCTGTCTTTGAGTGCCCTCTATGGCTTCAGGACAGCACTCAAGGAAGGCTCATGAAAAAATTTTAAGAGACTGTGATTAAAGAAAAGGAAAAAAAAAGACATCTGCTCCACCCACAAGACATTTGTTAAATTACAGCATATATTAACAATTCTACAGATACCAATGCAGTATCAGTTATCCACTGCTGCGAGAACAAACACTCGATTGTGCTCCTGCACAATACGTAAGCAGTGCTGTTGCTAGACCGGTTCAGAATGAATTTTCCCTTTATTAGGAAAAGTAAGGTAATCTGCTCTCCTTTGAAACTCCAGCCTCGCAGAAGAGAGGAGACTAAAGATAAGAAAGTGTGTTTAAGAGAAGTGTGCCAAGTCAAGGGAAATGATAGAGGGATTGCACTTACATACACTTAATGCAAACAACTGCAAAATCATGACTGTACATTAAGCCTAAGAAGAGTGATAACAGCACACAGTCTGGGTGTTCGCCCTCTGAATGACGTACTCGTATTTTCCTTTAGGAAGTAAAGACTTTGGTACTTGAAAACAAATAAAAAAAACCCACACTGCAACAAAAACACAGAAACTTTTTTTTTTGCCTCCCCCATCCCTTTCTGAAGCTGACGCACGCTAAGGATCCATGCACCATGTAGATCATACAAGATGCTTTGTCAAAAGGTCCAGTTATTAATGCATCCTCGCTGTGAACTGATGTGTTATATTATCACAGCTCTCAATAAAGTGAATATGGATTTACACATTAGACAATAACAGCTCCAAAAGGAGCTGTTAAAATACCACTGAATAAAAGAACACTTAACGTAGGCATTCAATGGACTGCAAAAATGGATACCTAACAAATACTGTAAATGCATGTAACTGTAATTACTAATTCTAAACCGTACCAAATTTTCGTCCACTATTATGAGAAGTAAAAGAGATAAATCATTGAGTGTCCTTACCAGAACTACTCTCTGAAACCCCACAAAATTGTGATGTGGCAGCAGTACAGCCCCTGGTATTACACCACCTGTAACACAAACCATATTGTGATAGTTTCTATCAATACTTATTTTAACAGATGATAAAAGGATAAAAGCTATTTTTCCACCAGTCTTTTTAGAGAAAGCATTAAAATAACATTTAGTTTCCTGCAGATCATAATATATTTTTATGCAACAAAAACAAATAAACAAAAATTAAAGACTATCTTTTTGGTTACTTACATGGAACATGCTTTAAAAAATTCAAATTTTACTCTCTTCTCACCCTCAGTTGATGGCAAACCCCCAGCACAGAACAGCGCATTCACTTCAATGGAATTTCTCTTCTTTCTGTCTGCTCATACAGACAAATGGGAACTTTGAGGGGATCCAGCTTACAAATAGCACAGCACTGATGTGGCAGCTTTATTCAGTCTTACCCAAGAATACAACTAAAATATTTCAGCAGTAAGACGACAAATAGGAAACACAAGGCCTCTACCGACCCATCCAGTTATGCTTCCCGTAACTGACTACTGCAGAACGAAATGTAACACCAGCCAATTAAGAAGAGCAGTTCTGTGGAAGAATCCTTAGGATACCCTCACAGAGTTAATTTCCACAAGTGACTTCAAAGCTGAACCGCTCCCTAGGACTTAAGCACATTATACACCTGTGATCAGAACAATTACTGATCACACCTTTATGTAACACTGAGGTTCCTACCACGGATATTCATTACCGATGAAATCACTAGAGAGAAACCTAACATAAACTAAGGGATTAAGGAGAAAGGCTTGGGGGTAAAAGAACAGGATCACTGCCTGGGCACAACAACAGAAGAACTACCTATCAAAAAAAAAAAAACAAAAAAATGCTGTCTGAAGCGAAATATAGTTCATGGAACAAAAAACCTCTCCCAGATGGATGAAGATGAGGAAAACAGCAATTTTTTTTTCTAAATACTAAGCTCCTGCCATAAAGGCTGACAAATGCATTACAGCCAACATTCAAACTTTCCAAATACCTCCTTAAAACCAGGGCCAAACCCAAAAAAGGCAACTCGTGCCTTTAACAACGGGCAGCACTACAAATTCATCATGAACTACATCACCTTCAGACTCCATGAACCCCACCAGTACTCTATTACCAAGTTACCCAGATGGGTGAGAAGTCAATGGTGGCAGAGATCAGCAGCTTCCTACTAAAGCACATCAGTTCATTCAATACTGCCCCTGCCAAACCTTGGAAAACCCTTCCCATCCACCAGCCTGGATTGGACAAGTGTCCCACCCCCTCTCTGTAGCAACACGCACAGACACAGCCGAACCCAAATGGGAAGTCCTGAGCTGTATTACTGCAGTTACAATTCCCTGCTCAGATATTACGTACTATTCTGATCACTTCCTGCAAAATTAAGTGTACGTACCAAGTGCACTGATAACACTGAACTTAAAAAACAAAAACAAAACAACAACAACAACAACAAAAACATAAACAAAGTTTGAAACACTTAGAGCATTTTAACTGCAAGATGAGTGATGGTGCAAAAGATCGTTTCCCTGTTCAATGCAGGGACTTGGACTAGGTGACCTTTAAGGGTCCCTTCCAATTGAAATGAACAGCACATAGGGCTGCTGCCATTCTGCCTGAGCTGGCAGAAGGGAATGGTACGTTTCAATATTTACATGCTTTGAACTTCTTGCGTTCTGCATTAAGCGTTTATCATTCATTCAGAGCACTCGCTGTTTGAAGTAACTAATTGATATTACCCCCAAAATGGTGCCAAACAGGAGAAAGAACAAGGAGGCCCTGAAGGAAAGCAGTGCAACACCACATCCTGAACAGAAGCCAGTTCAAGAGGAATTCCTTTCCTCTCTTCAATTCCCCACAGAGCGCACATAAAAGCACAACGCACACCGAACACCAGAAGCTCACTGCTCTATTAGCCTCCCCCACAACAACAACAGGAAATCTGTTTACAGTTAACTAATTTGCCATGGGATGGACAGGGTTGAGAGGGCACGCGGTGAGAATGAAGCACAGGGCCCAGCCCACGCGGCCCTTTGGGTGACGAAGCACCAGCGCTGCCTTCAGAGAGACCGAGCATCTCGCTGCTGCCTTTATCTGCATCATATGGGAACCCCCAAGTCACAGACATCCTGGAAGCAGCTGTAGCAGGTTTCAAATTAACGACTACAGTAAAATTTATGGCGTGTCCTGCAAAGCCTTGCATATGACACAGAGCAGATGCAAGGCACCGGCACAGGCTGCCCAGGGAGTGGTGGTCACCGAACCTGGAGGCGTTCAGCAACGGCAGAGATGTGGCACTGAGGGATGTGGGCAGTAGCTGGACGGTCAGACTGGCTGATCCCTGAGGTCTTTCCCAACCTTAATGCTTCTGTGACTTCATTTTTAATTGCGTTCCTCCCAAGTGATGTGCTGAAATGGAGCACGTCACAGGGTGGAACTTCCCCTACTAGGTTTAACCTTCAGAGCTTCATTCTGCAGTAGTGCTGGGGCTGGTTTGTAGTTGCACGTGTTGTCTTTTATTTCTCTCTCCTAGGAGATGCCTAGCTTGAAATATCTCAGGGAAGCTGGAGGAAACACATCATAAATAAACTAAACCACAAATCTACAATCTTGTTTAAAACAACAACAAAAACGCTTGGGAGGAAGGGAACAGCTAATAAAGTGGCAAGGAAAAAATAATCAGCCTCTGGGAAAGGACAAGGACAGAAAATAATGCAAAATTGTGGATGCTCTGAAAACCCAGCACTTCATGTGACTCTAACTGCCAACCTTAATGATGGGATCTGTTACAGAAACGCTCACCGTGCAAGAATTTGTGCCTTGTGAGCTAAAGATCTTTCCCTCTGCAGTTTAAAACACCTGTGTATTTTTAAACCGTATTTACTTCTTGTACATATAAGTAGTATATATAAGAAGTACTTCTTACATATATAGTTTCCACATTTCACAATTAATTACAGAGGGTGTATTTTATCAAACTACTGACACCTCCAATGATGCCCTGTGTAAATACACAATGCCCCGCTTTGGCAAAGGACAGCTACAGATGTGACAAATGATAAACCAACGTTGACAGTGCAGTACATGGAAGCAGCAGGAGGTGCCCCAAGGGCTGCCATCTGGGTCACCCCACTGCTAAGGCTGATCCCAGCTCAGCCATGCTCCAGGAGCACATCGCTGCTCTGTGGCACTGGCACCTATTCACTCACATCACTGTTTGGGTTTTTTTTTCCCCACCACATTTTAGTTTTGCTAACCGAAAGAAATACAGGGAAAAAAGCGTGTCTTGTATTTCTCTAAATTAAAGGAACACAGCTGCCCACTGAGTATCCCTTATAATCATACTTTGGTGTGCAACCCTCCCAAGCTTCTGGGCAGCCATTTCCATTACGGATTCCCCTTGTCCGTGAATTATAACCAAAACCCTTTACTAACATTTGGATTTGGGTTTTCTTTAGTCGATGCAATTTTGTTTTTAATAATCAAAAACAAAATGGATTTTTAACAAACAAATAACATTTCTGAAAAAAATTGCCTGGGGTTTCGCTTGTTTTGATATTAAACCATGTACACTTGGAAAGAAAAAAAAGAAGTAAATCATGTGCTCATAAAAAGCACTGATGTGTAAATTGAACGTGGCCCATGAGGGAGAGGGAAATTATCCACTTTAAAGAAGTATTGTTTACTGCTTTCTTCCCCACTGGAGCGCCTGCTAATAGTATTTGCTGTTGTTTTCTTACTGTGTGATGAGTACGGCTATAACCAAGAATGCTGCCAAGGCGATGAAATGCATGCGTACAGAAAACAGTATATGCTGACATTACATAAAAAACTCCATCTTGAACTTAGAGCAATGGATGTATTTTGGATATTCAGAATGCCCAGTGCACAAATGAGCCCTTATTTTCGCTCCATCCTATGAGAGCAGCATAACTCCAGGGCTGATTTCCCTCTGTTTGCATAAAAACAAATGTTATCATGGTGAGATCTGATCTGCACGCTGCCACTTATTTCCTCTAATCCCTCTGTTTCAGAGACCATCACTGAACAAGTGGAGGACAACTGAGCCTTCAGCACTTGGCCCAGCAGTTGGGATCCAAAGGAGGCAGGACTGCAGAGAATTGCCCACCAGGCTGGCACTGATGCTTTGTGCTCACAGCTACTGTAAGTGCTGGGAACACCTCAGTGCAGAGGTGCAGTATGCTGCCCACAGCCTCTCCACTGCTTCTCTGACACGTGAGCCTCACAGACAGCAGCCAGTGAGGTTTTAATCTAACAAGAGCAAACACTTTCTAGGACACAGCTTAAATCCCTCAGGACAGCCAGCCAAATGAATAGTAGGCACTCCACAGATAGCAGGTAAGAAGCTTTTGCTCCTCGTGAGTTATTCACGTGAGTGCTCACAGCAGTTACCTGAACCACAGAACAGACACAGCACAGGCACAGCCCAGCGACTGCCCACCGAGCTCACAGGAACACATTTAATACTGTGATACAACAGATGTGAAAATATCAGGCAGGTGCAATGGTGACGCACCTCTCACAACCTTCCCCTCTTACCACAAACTGGGATTTCATTCCAAGGGCAAAGCACCACACACTGATTTCCAGAGCAGTGAGAGCAGCAGTATGAGAGCCACCAAGCAAAGGGGCCATGCTTACTTCCCAGAGCAAACCAGCCTAAACATGCCCCTGTATTTCACCTTGTATTTCACTCAGAGGAACACCCAGTGCTGACGCTGATTCAGTAATTACAAACTAAGATGATACGAGGCAGGCAGCACAATGCTGGCTTTCCTCTCAGGGCTTGGTTCAAGAGGAGGGCTTTTTCTTGAAATAGCTTCCTCAAATGCCATTTGCTTTCTTTCAAATCATCACTCAGCAGCAGTGGGTTTGAGAAAGACAGCCAACCTGCCTTGGTGTTCCAGCCTCGGTTTGCACACAGGACTGAATGTTACTGAAGAAATAATTTTCACAGTTAGACTTGTATATGCAAAGAAGGATTCGCACAGCA